CATACTTGAGATAATTGTTGAAAATCCGATTTTTCTTTAAGTAATTTTAATTGTGTTCCTTTTCCTATTTCATTTTACTTGCAATTTAAACCTGCTATTAACTTAGAAAAAGCATGTCTAATTGACTTAACTATTTATTTGCTTAAACTGTCTTAAATGAATTACGTGAAGTATGATAGATTAGAATTACCTGTTTACTTGATACGAAATTGAGCTTAATTGAGTATTCTTGTGTTGTTGCTGTGTGTTTTTACTTTGGGACTATGGGACGGCATACCAGGAGATCCCCTGTATGTATTTATGATTTGAACTAAGGATACCGAGAGATCCTCGGGATACCAAGAGATACCTGGCATATATTCAGGATACCGAGAGATCCTCGGGATACCAAGAGATCCCTGGCATATATTGAGGGTACTAAGAGATCCTCGGGATACTGAGAGATCCCCGGTTATTATCCCTGTGATTGGTTTTGCCTCTATTTCAGTTATTGAGTTCCTTATATTCCTGTATTTAATTCTTATTGTTCGCTTTCAACTGTACTGCTCATCTTATACTGTCATACTTTGTATTTTTATTTTATCTCGGTAGGGCCCTGACCTTCCTCGTCACTACCCGACCGAGGTTAGGCTTAGCACTTACTGAGTACCGCTGTGGTGTACGCATGCCCTTTCTGCGCTTGTTTTTCATGTGCAGATCCAGGTACCTTGACTCAGACTTACCATCCTTGAGGCAAGGTGACCCTTCGGAGACTTCGAGGTATACCTGCCGCATCCGCAGACCGAGGAGTCTCTCTCTGTTCTCTCTTGTAGTTACAGCCCTTCTGTATTTACTTGTTTTAGACTATTCTGGAGTTATAGCACTATGTAATATCGTTAGCTTGTGATTCATGGGTTTCCGGGTTTTGGGAGAGATATATATTGGATTTGAGAGTTATATTTCGTATGTTGAGCGGCACTTTTAAAATGTTGTTTTATTACATTATTTCTATTTAAATTGTATTCTTCCGCAAATTGGTTTTTCTTCCGCGTTTTAGGCTTACCTAGTCGTAGAGACTAGGTGCTGTCACGATGGTTCACGGAGGGTGAACCGGGGTCATGACACCAAAATTATAAAATTCGAGCACTCATTCGATAACGAGTCCAATCATATAAAAATTACTTAAATCCGACCTCAAATCGCCTTTTAAGACCCTAAAATTTAGTGTAGGAAGTTTTCACAATTTTTTCCCCAAATTTCCAACTCAAAACACTAATCAAATGATGAAAATAACAATGGATTCGTGTAATATAACCAAAACCAAACCTCTTATCCCAATGAATTTCTTGAAAATCTCTCAAAAAATCGCCACAAATCGAGCTCTCTAGGTCCAAAAATGAATAATGAAATCCAACCCTCGAACTTAGCTTTTTTTTTTGCCCAATGATTCTGCATCTACGGTCACTCAGTCGCGTCTGTGATGCCGCACCTATCGAAAAACCATCTCAGGTGCGGTTGCAGCTTAAGTCACAAATTTTTGCTTCTGCGGACCAAACGTGCTTTTGCACTTCCGCTTCTGCGGACAAAACATGCTTCTGCGCATGTTGTCCGCTTCTGCAATCCCAGGCCTCCCTATCTATATCCGCTTCTACGATGCATTTTCCGAATCGGCGAGTTCGCTTCTACGGAACATGGAGTGCCTACGGTCCCAGCTGGTCATGAAAATATTCACTTCTGCGGCTCGAGGGCCACTCCTGCGGCGCCGCACCTGCGACCAAAAATGCGCAGGTGCGATTGCACCAGTCACAGCTAAACTTCAACAATGCATAAGGTCAAAAATTATTTCGGATTCAATCTGAATCACACCCGGGGCCCACGAGACCACATCCGATACCAACAAATTCTAAAATACATAACAGACCTACTCGAGGCCAAAAATCACATCAAACCACATCGATTCTACAAATCGCAATCCAATTCAAACCTATTGAAACTATGAACTTCCGAATTCCAAAACTAATGTTGATTCATACCAAAACAACTCCGATTGACTTCAAATTTTGCACACAACTCATAAATGACATGACATCCCTACTCCAACTTACGAAATTGGAATGCGACCCCGAAATCAATAAAGTCAACTCTCAATTAAACTTCTCAACCTTCCACACCTCTAACATTTTTAACTTTCGCCAACTCAAGCCGAAACGACCTATGGACTATTTCGCAATCGTCTACACAAAAGTTAAACTACGGTCAACTCTTTCAACTTAAGGCTCCAACTTAGGGACTATGTGTCCTATTTCACTCCGAAACTCACTCAAACCAAAACCAAACACCCCCGGCAAATCACATAACCATAATACAACATGGAGAAGCTGGGTCGTTTCATCCCCCCCCAAAAAAAAAATATCCGATTCTTTTCCTTTTCTAAAGGTTTTAAAATCCAAATTCTCTCTTTCTTACTAATCACCCAAAATCTCTATTTCTTATTAATACAATGCAGACGACATTCAAAATATTGCTCTAGAATCATGTTGTGGGTAAGTTTTGAATCTTGTTTTTTTTATTTCTAAAATGTTTATTGTATATGATACATCAATACCTAAAATAATACTTGATACAATACTAATATAATTATAATACGATTATATTAGATTTTTAGTGTAGAGTTGTGATTAAAACTTGAAGAAGATAAAGATCATAATTGTATCATAATTTTTCAAAAATGTATCGCGATTATATTATAATTGTATATGTATCATAATTGTTGAAGGAATTGTATTACAAATGTATGATAATTTTATATTCATTGTACATTGTTAGGAGCAGTTGTGAGTTCGTAACGATTTTCACAGTTTGTATCACAAATATATGATAATTATTTATTAATTTATTTGTATCGTATCAAGTACTATTTTGGGCATTAATGTACCATATACAAGTTAGATACAATCGTGATACAAGTATGATATATATTATTTTAGGCATTGATGTATCTTATACGATTCATATATAATTATGATACATTTATCATACAATTCCTGAATATTTTCTTCATTTTCAGTGTTGTCCAGTCTCCCAGCAAAAGAACGATGCAATTGACGATTTTTTAATAATATAAAGCTGTCAGCAATGGTGGGAAGAGAAAAGATGGAGATTCTGGGAGTAGATTAAGGGATTTTGATGTAAGAAAAAAAGGAAGGAGAGAGAAAAGGAGAGGGGGGAAAAAGAAAGGATGTAATTGAATCTCTTAATTGAAGGCACTAATAATGGGGTGAGAGTTTTTTAAAGAGCGATGTATACAATTTGTAAGAAAAACCTATATACTTATTAAAAACTACAAAGCATAGAGAACATAGGTAAATAAGTTTCTAAGTATAACTAGGTAAAAATCCCGAAAAAGAATTATTACTTAAGGGGCCAAGAGAAGAAAAATCTCGAAAATATGTGAATTGGGAATAGTGGCTATAACTTATTAATAAATTGGGCCTAAAGGCTATTTTGATTCAATAGGAAAAATATGGGCTAATAAATTGTTAGGGGGCCACAAAACGTGATTTTCTCAGTAATTATTCTTCTCATTAGCTTGCTTTTGGGGATAAAATAGACTCAATGTCTATATGACTTAAATGATATTAGAGCCAGATTCATATCCAATTATTTTTTTGCCCAACTTTGAACCCCCCCATGTAACATTATGCAACTCTTGTTGTCCAAGGATGTTAGATTGTTCAACATTGATAATGAAAATTGAGTATTATCACCTCACATGATCTTGGATAATCGTCACGCTATGATATAACTTTTGGATAATTCCAAATCCATTTTCGTTTCATGGTCTTTTCATTTCTCTTTGTTTTGTTTTTCTTTTGGAATTTCTGGACATTATCCAGCCCAAAATTGGCCACTATTTGTATCTAAGTCAAATGTAGAAATTGTACGGGTTGCCCTATTTGATCGCCCCCATTTAACATATACCCATTTTTTTTAAAATATTTAACTTGTACCCACTTTTTAAACAACTTCACCCCTTTTTTCCTCCTCATTCGTTTTCTTCTTGTTCTTCTATTAACAACTGAAAATTAAGACTTGGTCAAAAAATTTTATAAATACAGACGACAATCTCAAGAAATGAAGTTTCTTTTACTTGTCTGTTGCTTATGGTATTTTGTTCCCGACTTCTCACTAAGGAAAAGACAATCTTCAACTGCCAAATGACTCATTGCTTTGGATCAAGCAGACCTTTAATAAAAAATAATTTCTACTTAAAAACTTAGTATTTGCAATTTTGGACTCAACTGGTTGATGATATTCCCTAAGTAAATTTTCTTTTTTGTTTTATTTTATAGCTAATCTTAGAAGGAAACACATATTCCCATTGTAAGCGTGAGCAATGGTTTTATATGTTCTTCCTTTTATGTTTTGGTTAGAGTCGCAAAAGTGAAAGAAACAAATACCTATGAACAAGGGGAGGATTACACTCATGGTGTAAATAGGCTAAAGAGCTGAAGTTCGCCAGTTACAAACAAAAACTTCAGCTCTAGAGCTGAAGTTCGACAGCTCCAAAACAAAAACTTCAGTTCTAGAGCTGAAGCTTACAAACAAAAACTTCAGCTCTAGAGCTGAACTTCAGGTCCGGCTACTAGAATGCTGAAGTTTTGCGTGATTGCCTTTGCTACTTCAGCCCCGCATGCTTAAGTTATGCGAAAAAGCGGGTACGCTTGCAATTGTTTTTTGCAAAGCGGGTACAAGTTAAAACGTGACACAAAAAGCGGGTATAGATGCAAATGCCCCAAGTCAAATCCAGATTAAATTGGTTATAACAATAAAGGACTGTTTGCTTAGACGCATTAATAAAAAATATAGGACATACGTTATTCTTCATTAATAATACAGTGTTTCGTTCCTTAATTATCTGTGTATTAGTTTTGTCACAATTGATGTATTATCTTACGACGAATTGGACGTGGAACAACAATACACGTATCACATGTAATTAACAAACATGTTTTTTCTACTAGTTTTATATCGTTGCTTAATTAAGAAAACGATAAAAAATGTTAATAAAGTTCAGTCTGCATCCATCACAACTCAAGAAAGACAATTTGTACTACTCAAACCAGGGAGACTTTTTACAAGATGGTTAAAAGAATGGAAATATCAACACAACAATAGATCTATGATGAAAGAAATTCATTTCCAGATGCTTTCATTGAGTGAGAACACCGGAAACTCTTCCTATCTGGACGAAGATCAGAATGCATCAGCACTGTTGAGTCTGTTATGGGGGATAAACAGTCAGAATTAACTGTTTCACATCACCCCATCTTCTGGTCTACATGCTTGTTAGGATTGCATATGATAATCCAAAGTGTAGGCATGGATTTCAGAAGGGCTTGTGCCAGGCCTGGAAACAAGACTTCACACATTAGGAAGGAAAAAAGATAAAGAAATGCAACTTAAAGACAAGCTCTTGGCAGAAGAAAAGAAGGTTTGGAATCCATCAAAGAGCTTACATTATACCATTGGCTAATGAACCAACTCCAGCAAATTGGATTTTCTTGACATGGTTAAGACCAGCACACACCAAAGTAGGATATAGTTGAGATTTAATATTACACCAAAGTAGAGTAGTCTCAAGCAACAATATCCAGAAAGAATTTTCCCGGTCTAATCTTTAGGTCTAAAACAACTTATACTTTTCAGCAAGCGCTCAACCCTTGAAGTCGAGCATCAAAAGTGGACAAATAACTTAATGTTAAAAAATGTTGAAAAAAAAAGTTGGGGAGTACGATGTATCTCAACTTGAAAGTTAAATTGCTGCAGATGAATTCATAAAGTTCGAAATGTGCTTCCTTACATCTGTCAGATGCATATTATTCTTCTGAGAGGGCTATATACTACTCATTGCATGTCAATCCAAGACAGGATTCCATCAAACCATGGGGAGTTGAAAAGGATAAAAATATGAACTTAACTGGTTCTAGTAGACAAACACAGCAAACTAATCTACATTCTACACTAATTTAAGCTTTCACTAAAGATAAGGAGTAAGAGGGAATCAAGTTCGGCTCAGCTTAGAATTGAGTTGATGTCGTGCAAAGAAATGCCAAACAGACAAAACAGATTGCAATGTCAGAGAAATTAATTTAAAGGGGAAGGAGAGAATTTAATTTGAAAAGCAAGCCTTACAAAATGCACAACCACCACCAGTGCAGAGCATACTCAAAGCGATAACGTTAATCAAGTTGCCATTAGTGGGTCACTTTCTTTTCCAAATCAAAGGTTATTGAAAGACAACATGGTTGAGTATAACCGATTCACTGCTTGCTAATAACCAGAAGACAAATTCTAACGCTCTAGAAATGAAATATAAGAAAGAAAAAGTTACAGTACCACTTACAGCTAATGGAAGGAACACTTATGGTTTGTGATTTTTCCGATTAGTTTCGTCTTCAAATGAACGACATTTCATGTTTTTGGTGTAGCTATAAATGCTTGTGTAGACTAACAATGCTCTCTGTTCTGTTTGTTATACATATTCAAATAGGACTCATCTAATACATTGCTCATCAGACTACTTAAGCTTCATAAAGGATCTGTATAGCGAAGTGAAAACTATCATATAGGCTGACCAAAATACCTCTTGTTAATGATTCCATAATGAAACTTCGGTCTTCCAACTTTAATATCTTCAATGTACTACAATCACATGAAATAAGAAAGGTCACTTAAAATTAGAAAAAGCAAGCAAATGAAGAAAATGTTATTTTTTTACATACATGTGTGTGTGTGTGTGTGCATTTTTTTCCATTAAGTACATATTTAACCTCGTAACATAAACATACCAACTTCAAGGTCACCAGCATTGATGAAAATGCTAAAGAATCAAAAGGAATATCATCAAGCTCATAAAGCCGACATTCAGATGATTCTGGACCTGGTGAAAAGTGGGGAGTTTTCAGCTTCGCCAAAAAAATCATGTACGTCTGCAACACAATGAACAAGTGTCATCACTATCTGTCTCAATTCATAGATAGTACTTGTCATCTTCAAGATGCTTATACTCACTTGGCCTATAAGAGGGATGTCTAATTGAGCAAAAGGTGACTGAACCTCTACTTCTGCATTTGCCTCTTCTAGAGTTTCCCTAATTGCTCCTTCTGCAGCAGATTCACCAATTTCCATGTAGCCAGCGGGCAGTGTCCTACCAGTACAACAATATTTGAAGATAAACTCACAATACTGGAGTTTGAAGTACTTCACCACTTTCTACATTTCTGGATGTTGGGAATTTTAAAAAAAGGACTTTCTTAGGGAGGTAAGTGAAAGACCTCCTTTTGCCTCACTAAATATTGTTGGCAGGCACATACCAAAGGCCGTACGATGGTTGAATTTTCCGCCTGCACATTAATATCTTCTTATCGTGCTCAATAAGGCAACCAACAACCTGTATTTGTGGATGATTACAAATATTATTCCCTTAGTACAATGCAGGATAAAACTCTGTGTTTGTTGTGCGTTGCACAAATGAATAATAAAACCACAACAGGAGAAAGAATCATATTAATTCATATGGCTACTATAAACGAGAGTAATTATGGTCTTGCAACCTCAAAGTTCATAGTAAGACAAACTATAATCAATGAGATTCAGATTAGTAAACAACTAGAATCACTAAGATTTCAGTGTGTGTGTGTGGGGGGGGNTTCCCATGGAACACCTACCTGAAGTTTAGCCAGTTCCCAAACTATCCAAAATGCAAAATAAAGCAAAACAGAGTCTGAATAGACTCTTTAACCTCACAATTAAAGAATGCAAGCAAACAAAGGATAAACCTATCTGATAAATAAACATCCACAAAAGCCATACAAGGTTGTGTTCTTTGGCTTACCATCCTTTCTTGCACTCTTATTTTTTAGCTATATCTAAACTAGCTTAGCTATATCTTTGGCAATTTTCTACCCACTCTCTCTTGACCAATACTGTTTGCTCCTTTGCAGCAATATCTCAACTAGCTTAGCTATCTTTTGTCTTCCACTGTCGCTTAACAAATTGTGCTATGTTTTCCTTATTCCTAGGTATATGCATATTTCAAACTGTCCCCCAAACAAAACTGAATTTGATAAAAATTCAAATAAGTAGACTTAATAATTGAAACAAGGTTACCAAACTGATTTGGTTTGGGGAATTTATCTGGTTCTAAACAAAGATGGACACTCCCACTTTCAAGTTTCAACCATCAATTTTGAATATTAACCACCAATCATCTATGTTATGAAAAGCCAAAGGGAAAATCATGTAATCATTACAATTTCAAGTGGTAATACAATGATTAATCTGCATTTGATTCGAGAATCCATGCCGGAAAAATGTAGACCGTAAAGCTTCATAAAATCTTACCATTTTTGGATTCTCATAGATAATCTTCCCACAGCGGGTGCAGATAGCTCTCACCTTTTCCTCACCATCAGGTATCTCATGCTTTGTTGAGCCTCCACAAAACTGGCAGAAGTTGACCTTGCGAATATTGCCCTACATGTTGTTTGAACTGAATGGATCAGGGAAAAGATAAAGGGACATGGAAAATTTATAAAACACAAAAACATTCTCATATCTATTCAAATTTAAATAACATATAGGTAATTTTTAAGAGGTGTACCTATTGCGTACCTATTGCGTTACATTAGGGCGATTAAGGACATCTACAATGGAGCTAAGACCCGGGTGAGGACAATAGGAGGGGATTCGGAACACTTCCCAGTGGTGATGGGGTTGCACCCGGGATTGGCTCTCAACCCATTTTTATTTACCCTGGCTATGGACGCACTGACACGCCACATTCAAGGGGAGGTGCCGTGGTGCATATTATTTGCAGATGACATTGTACTGATTGATGAGACGCGAGGCGGTGTTAATGCGAGGTTGGAGGTTTGGAGGCAGACTCTCGAGTCTAAAGGTTTCAAGTTGAGCAGCACCAAGACAAAATACTTGAAATGTAAGTTCAGTGGGGTGACTCAGGAAACGGCACGGGTGGAGACGTGAGGCTTGACACACAAGTCATCCCTAGGAAAGGAAGTTTCAAGTACCTTAGGTTAGTTATACAAGGGAATAGGGAAATTGACTAGGATGTCACACATCGTATTGGAGCAGGGTGTGTGAAATGGGGGCTCACCTCCAGTGTTTTTTGTGATAAGAATGTGCCACCAAAACTTAAAGATAAGTTCTACACAGCGATGGTCAGACCAACTACGCTATATGGGGTTGAGTGTTAGCCAGTCAAGAACTCCGATATCCAAAAGATGAAGGTAGCAGAAATGAGGATGTTGAGATAGATGTGTGGGTACACCAGGTTGGATAAAATTAGGAATGAAGATATTCGGAAAAAGATGGCATAGCCCCTGCGGAGGAAAAGATGCGAAAGTGAGACTTAGATGGTTCGGGCATATAAAGAGGAGAGGCACTGATGTCCCAATGCGGAGGTGTGAGAGGTTGGCCTTAGAGGGCCCAAGGAGAGGTAGGGGTAGGCCGAAAAAGTATTGGGGTGAGGTGATGAGGCAAGACATGACAATGCTCCAGGTTACCGAGTACATGACCCTTGATAGCAAGGTGTGGAGATCGAGAATTCGGATAGAAGGTTAGGTGGCCGACTATTTTCTGTTTTCCTTGTTCATACCAGTGGTATTAATGTGCTACTTAGTGTTAGTCTTGTATTTTCTTATTCTTATATTTCTGTAATCAGAGGCGGATCCAGGATTTAATATTTATGGGTTCCTGCAACGACTTCGAGTAAATTTTCAATAGTAACTGGGTTCACAATTAAATATTTGTAGATATTTAATGAATTTTTAAAACACGTTTACACTGTTTGGACAAAAGGTACCGGGTTCACGGGAACCCGTAGATTACATACTAGATCCGCCCATGTTTCTGTTATCACTTGTTTCGTTCACTTCGATTTTCTGATTGGCTTGCTGGTGTTATTACTTGTTGTTACTCCTTTCTTCTTATCTTTCTTGAGTCGAGAATCATTCAGAAATAGTCTCTCTATCTTTCAAGGTAAGGGTAAGGTTTGCGTACACACTACCCTCCCAGATCTCACTTATGAGACTACACTGGATTTTTTGTTATTGCTATAATTTTTAAAAAGAATTGGCTGGTGTTAGATTGTCAACGTTATTTGAGCAAGTGGGTTGGTATTCTCACATCATGAGTTAATTTTTGGGGTTGAGTTAGACGAAAGATTCATTTTTCTCGAAATGGTATTAGAGTCAGACCTATCTTGTTCTTGGTTTATCCAATGCTGGACTCCCAAGTCAAGTTGCCCATGCTCACAATGTCCAGCCTTGGGCGTGCGGGTTGTGGGAGTTGGAGGTTAGAGTGTTTCACATTAGTCGAGGAAAGAGCTCTTATCCCCTTACATGATGTTGAGATATCCTCACCTCTGAGCTGGCTTTCTGAGGTTGAGTTAAGCTCAAGGTTCAGTTTTCTTCCCAATTTGCAAAAGTGCAGACTGCAAACTAACTTTTAGTACAGGAAGAGAAACAAAAGACGAAGCTGAAGAGAAAGAGGAGAGAGAAACTCCAGCTGAATGCCACCATTTCATAATAGATTTAAGTTGTTTCTAACTCTGACAGCTAGATGTACATAAGATGTCCACAAGTATAGGCATGTTAGCATTTAGAAGCTTTCTATCAGATATTACGTCGAAGCTTTTGCAGGACATTTTATCAGAATAGAAGCTTGTAGCTCGATAGTTCTTACTAGAAAAATTTCCAACTGCTCATGCCATGATTTATGCCAGAACTATGAGTTGGATAACTATACTGCCGATGAAATACTTTTACCTTCTTATGAAAAGTCAACTTACCTTTCAAAAAGAAAATACTTTCTCCATCACAAATGAATCGTTATATGGAGCATCCATAGATTGGATTATTTTTCAAAGTTCATTTGCCTATTGAGAACGACCTAAAAAGGTCTGTAAACTCATGTCTTTGAAATTTAGAAATATTTAAAACGTATACTAGGAAACGTTGTTTGATCTTCCAAACAATAATTGTGTCATATAATTTGCACATTTGCGAATAATACTTATATATGAATGCAATATCAAAGATTCCACTAGTTTCATCTTTTTTATCTCCTAATTTTCTCACTAATCAATGATAATCTATCAGCTACCTAAAGTCCCACTTCTACTTTAGTATCAACCAGTATCCAACTAGACTAAAGCCTTTTGCCTCAAATTTTCCGAATATATGTCTTGACACTCATATTTCAGAAGGGGTTTTACTTGGTTGAAAATTAGAGCTTCCATAATTTTTCCATTTTTTTTGGTATGACCCAGTTGCTTGTTTTCCTCACGCATTAATCATTATATAATAACTAAGTCTCAATCCCAAGCTAGTTGGGGTCGGCTATAAAAACTCTTGCTATACATATCCTCCATTTGAATCCCTTATGCATTATATGATAAGGCCAAATGCAACTTATTAACTTCCTCCCCCCAACACTCTGCACCAGGAGGTAGAAAGGAAAAGGAAAAGGAGGAATACTGAGTTCCTATTTGTTGCGGAAGCCAAATATATAGAGAGTGATTAAATCACAACTACTATATCTAAAGGTAGCTAATAAATAGTAAATGAGATCCATTTCACAGCTTGTCAATGCTCCTTTCCCGGATCATGCATATACTTGCTAACTGTTAAATTTGACAAGATTCATGTGAACTAGTGTGAACATTTGAAAGCCTCCTTTTAGGAAAAAATTTGTAGATGCATTTTTCATGCATTTACATTGCATAATCACACTTTATGTGATGTCATGCATGACATTATTAAGGTCATTTCCCTTATATAAATAGCAAGGGTTTTGTTTCCTCCAGTTTGTCCCAAGCGCATGTGACATAGCTTGATTGCTTCTGCCTCCTTGTTATCACTAGATGTCACTGTTGTTGTCCCAATAACTGTACTACCGTGATAGTGGTACATGTTATTATTTCGCTGAATTCCTTTCAATACCAGAAGTGCACCGGAGCATATTCTTATTACCCCATTTTCTGTAACGACTTTGAACCTCTTTGACTCTAGGGCTCCTACAAATATGAGATTTTTATTCCATTCTTGTACGTATCGAACACCTGTTAATATTCTGATCAATCCATCATGGTTCCTTAATCGGATTGAACCAATATCATATGCAGTGAAATGATTATTTTTTTGCGATGTGAATAATTCCACGTTCTCCTTCTTGAAAAGTAATGAACCAGTCCTTGTTGGGACACGTTTGGGTTCGAATCACATGAAGCCCATATAGATGTCCACTCCTATTTCCTCTAAAGCTCTCCCTGTGGGGGAACACAATCAGTCCATACAAGGACCTACTGAGTCATCCACCCTTGCATCTATTTGATGCATCATCACATGGCCGTCGTGTAACTCCTCGAGAATCATGTCATTCGCCTGTCACGTGTTGCCACCAGAGTCATAAATACTTGAAGTAAGCTCCTAGATCGTCCTTATCTCTAAAGGGGCTTCCGAACGAGCGAAGTATGATAGCTACAAGTTGAATCCATCAGCCATATGTTATATGGTTTGAATAGCTGTATGGTAATTACTGAGAAATCAGAGTCGTGACAATCAGCTATATTTGAAATTATGATAGCCTTCTCATTGTTAGGTTTGGCCTTGTTTTTCAACTTTGGACAGTCTTCGTTCCAGTGCCCTTTTTCTCGGCAAAAGGCACATTCATCTTTGCGGGGTTTGGATCTTGACTTCGATCTTCCTTTCTTCGTTCTCATCTGATTTTGAGAAGGACTTCTCACGACTAGTGCTTCTCCTTCTCCTTCTCCATTCTTTTGTTTTTCTCTCTTTCTTTGTTCATAGTTGTATAAGGCAGAACAAACTTCTTTGAGAGATACTTCATCATTCCCATGAAATACAGTAGTTTTGAGGTGCTCGTACTCATCGAGAAGTAAACTTAATAACATTAATGTCATATCTCCATCGTCTATATTCTGCAAATTTATCGCCAACTTATTAAAGCTAGTAATATGACCATACATTGTAGTGCCAGGAACATATGTGAAGCATAACAGTCTTTTTTCATGTAAAGTTTATTTTGACAGTTTTTCTTCAAGAATTTATCCTACAATGCATTCACAATTTATTTGCAGAAGTTTTTTTAGTGTATGCATATTTCTATTTTCTTGTAGGTAAGATCAAATGGTACCACAACCAACGCGGTTGATAATCTTCCAATTTTCTTCTCCTATATTGCCTGATTTCTTTTCTTCTAGGCAAAATACATAGTTTACCCATTAAACTTGCATCAAAATCCTTGCTACACACCTTTTTTTTCACGAGAAACTTTTTATATATTCAACTTTTAAAAAGTGTCTAAAACACACCTCTTCAGTACTTGACCCCTTTTTTTCTCATCAAGTGTAGTCATGCACCAATAAGAATGTGACACGTGTTATTGGCTTTAAAAAAAAAACTTGAATTTACAATTATATCCATCTTTTTCATCTTCCCCAAGTTGTACCACCATGGCTCCCCCCCCCCCTCTCCAAGTGAGTAATTTGTACCAGCAACCATGAACCTTTATTTTTAATTTTAATTTTCAAATTATTAGGACAACATTGAATTTCTATCATCATTGCCGATTAAATATTTTCCCTAAAATTCCTCGTATTTGTATCTTGCCTCTTTCAAATTGACTAACTAATTATATAGTTTGAGTACCAAATGTGCTTACACAAGAAACAGTGACAACAAAATAAAACCCAAGAGCTCAAAATTCCCAACCTATTAATGGCTGAAATGGAAGAAACTCCACATACCCAATGAGAACCCACAAATTCTCATGAAACATATATGAAGAACTCCACGAATTTTCCCTTCAGCTTTTGGCCACCCAGGCAACTCAACCGTGACACAATCATTCAGCGATTCCTATGTTAAATATGAAACTCTGATTTTTTTTATCCTCCTTTAAATCTTGGCAAAAATATTTGGTGGTATGGTGGTAGAAGAAGGCGATGGTGCAATAATGGAAAAAGATGGAAAATAATAGTGGATGTTTTTTTCTAAATAATGACGAAAAGGATTTAGAAAAATGAAAAAAATGAAAAGGCAGGACAAGTGCTGTCAAAATGAGCCTTCAGACACAGAATTATAATTGTCCACTCGCCTCTGATGTGTGAAAAACACGCGAGTGACTCGTAATCAAAAAAGTGTGTATTAGACACACTTTTGAAAGGTTGAGTGCGTAAAAGATTACTCGTGAAAAAAAAGTGTGTAACAGGGATTTCGGTGCAAGTTTGATGGGTAAACTATGTATTTTGTTTTTCTTATATGGCAATATCTAGCCCTTGTTGAAAAAGGAAATTTCACTTTGCATTTGAACACCTTAAGCACAAATCTTGCAAAGACCAATTAATAGTTAACATACTTGATAGCTATACAAACAATATTCCTGCCTTTTAGATCACTTCTCCGCCAATTAGACATATTCTTAGCTGATTCAAATTCACATCATGCATCAATACACAACAAAAAAACTTGGGTTGACGACTGAAATTATTACCGCAGGTGCTCCTCAAAAGATTCTTCTCTTTATTAGCATGCTTTACAAGTACAAAAGAAATTCTCCTACCTCCACAAAGATAAAGTGACTAACAATCTCAAGCGTCCATTTGATCTTGACCTGCCTTTACCAGTGACAGGTAGGATCAAGAGAAGCATGGCCAATCATAGCCCATAGGCTTTGCACTTTTGGCCGTGGTTAAAAACTAATAACATGTCAATATCCAAATTTTATTTAGTCCTCATCTCAATTAGAGATTGCTAATACAATTAACAAAGCCGAACCTCGCTTCTGTACTAACAATTATTGAAGGTTGGCTATACACCAAGATTCTGATTTGTGGTACCTACTATTGATCCATGATTATGGAAAAAACTCAATTATCTAGAGTTCCAGTTCACCAACTATGCAACGCTTTTATCTTTGTTATTATCTGTCTGTTCCACTGGTTGGATTTGCCTAATCCTTCTTTGAAGAATCAATAAATAATCTGAATACCTAGCCCCTTTTCTGTGACAAAACTCACTCTTAATCTAGCCCCAAGCTAGGAGAGACAATTCCACCACAGAAGAATCTAATACAGAGATTTAAACATGGGAATTTTTTGTTCAAACCAATCATTTCTACTAAAGGAAGTGTCGTATCAATTCTTATTGCTAATACTCCTGCTATTTAATTGGTGTACCGAGTCCTCTTTGTTCCCTCTATGGAATGCTCATACAATTGTCGCTAAGCCTATGGGTCAAGTTGTTAGCTGGGAGAAAAATGAGGGCTACCATGTTCTGCTTCGAACAAATATACCACATAAATAGAGAGCAGATAGTGTTGGTGGATGATCATACAGAAAGTAAATCCTGTGATCTTAGTTTAATAAAAGTTAATAGTCAACAGTGCTGAATTCCTAGGATCCTGGAATCTTTATCCAAGAATTGTAAATATTTTCAAAAAGGGTTTATAGAAAGCCCCCGCCCATAAAAAAAAGTAGTATTCTTTACTAGGTGTGCAATAGGAGATGCAATATTAACGGAGGATAACTTGAGGATGAGGAGATCAATGATGGTCAATTGGTGTTGTTTATGTAAGAACTAGCGAGAACACATGGATGATCTTTTGGTCCATTTTAAATACACTACTCAACTTCCGAATCTTGCGTGTTTATTATTTAATATCTCAAGAGTCATACTGGGGACAAGGAAAGCAGCAGTTTGGAGAAGGACACCATTGTGTTTCTTTTGGAATAGTTGGAAATGAAGAGATAGGAGATCATTTCATAATACTGAAAGAGATGTAAAGAGTATAACAAGATTCTTTTTATTTCATCTATTTTTTTATGTGATGAAAAATTACCGCTATGTATAGAATATTGGGATAGCTAGATAGATATACGTTGTTAAGGCACTTATATGTTGTGATACTTGAAGGTTGATTTACCAAAGAAAAGGGGAAAAAATAGTGCTGATATTTAACAATAAAACAACTAGACCCTTTTCCTATTTCACAAATGTCTTACATATTGAGTAGTGAGCACATTAACCTGATGCAAGTGTTTATCCTCCAAAACCTATTAAAGAACCAACCTTTTCTTTTCCGACAAATCATAACAAATCCAATGTCTTTCTATGATCTAACTCGTCTACAAGAAAAGGTGAAATGCTGTTTTCTTTGACAACTAAAATGATGGTGGCAAGCTCAAATTTGTCGATATTTGCCTTTTATCAAAATTCATATACCAAATCAACATCATCTCAAAACCCAAATTCTTTGTAGGTGATGGTGAAAATCTAGCTCTAAAAGAAGGGGATGATGCCCATGTTGAACCGTTGACAGATGGTCCTAGGCAGGTAGCCCCATTTCACCAAATTATATTGCTGTTGGAAGTTTCATTTTGCTCAGAGGAAGCAGACAAATAGCTCTAAACTGAAGATATGATGACAGGCTTATTTATATTTCGCATGTTTGAAGGAAATTGACTAAAGTAGGCATACTAGATTATTAAGCAAGCTACCGGAGAAAATATGAGGTAAACGAGGGTATACCAGAGTACAAAGGAGAAAGAGAGATGAAGTCTCTTTAGCTTCTTTCAAATTCAATCCATAATGTCTAAGAGGGTGTTTGGATTGGCCTATAAAAACTAGCTTTTAAGCTAAAAGCCAAAAGTCATAAGTTGGTAATACCCAACTTTTGGCTTTTGGCTTATTTTTGTACTTTTCATGCCTAAAAGTAAGTGATTTTTAAGCACTTTTTAGTATTGCCAAACACCACACAAACTAAAAAAGTGCTTAAAAGCCAATAAGCACTTATAATAAGCCAATCCAAACACCCTCTAAGTCCAGACTTCTCTTTTAGAAGTTTTAATTGTCAGAAGATATACAGAGTTTCTTCAGAGAAAATTTAAAGGAAGAGAGTGAGAACGGGGCAATAAATACCGAGTATGTATGACTTAATTAGGGTTTAAATGTTGAGGCTTCACTCCATAGTAAAACTTTAGTGTAAGAGGTACAAAGCTAGATGGTTGATACCAATCCGAATAAGAACACGTTTTCATTCAACTAATCCATCAATTTCTCCAACAAAAGGATCCTAGGTAGCACTTGACCCTGTGCTTTCACAAATATCTTTTAATCTAAGACCACTTTGAATCTCATTCAATGTGCCAAGACGCAACCTCGAACATAAAGAACAACCAACCAACTACATATAAAGAAAACGGCACCAGAAACAACAGAAATCAGCATCTTGAGTCATCTGTTTTAGTAAATCAACAACCATCAAAAGAAGTGCACAATATTCAAAAAAATCTGCCTTAAAAAAAGCGAGAATTTTTAACCTAAACTTAAGGCCTTAGAGTATAGAATAATATAGATGATTGAATGTAGGGACTAAGTGCTGGCTCTTCGGTTACAAATTATGTTGTTGTGTCCGAGGTGAAAGAGTTAATTGGTTCATACCTACCAAAATAAGAGAAGGTTTTCGTTCGAGTAATCTACTTTTTATCCAACTAAAGGATCCTAAGTAGCACTTAAACCTGTGGTTTCCAAACACTAGTATTAAATCTACTTTGAATCCAATTCAATGTACCAACTTGCAACATCAAACATAAAGCACAACCACTCAACCAACAAAGACAGATAAGGCACTAGAAATCACACAATCTAGCACCTTGACCCATCACTCATCAGTATCAGTAAATCTAAAACTATCAAAAAAAGTAAACAAACCACTCAAAAAAAGGGCAAAAGGGCAGTCCAGTGCACAAGGCATCCAGCGTTCACATAGGGTCCGGGGAAGGGCCGCACCAGAAGGGGTGCGATGTACCCTAATACAAGCATTAGTCGTCGCTTCCATGGCTTAACAAACCACTCAAACTCCAACATAAATCTGTAAAAAGGGTAATCTTGAAAATACAAAACTTTCCAACTAAAACAATTGGTACTCTACAAAAACCAAGAATTGAATATCTGTAATTATGCATACAATACCCAAAAAATAATCAAAACTACAAATACTTGGAAATGGATAAAAAACACCAAACAAGCTGAAAAGTTACAGAATTATGAATTATCACAATTAATAAGACAAGTAGGGAATAGACAACAATTTCAAGAAATTTAAACCCATTTTTTTATTAAGTAGTAACAACTCACAGTTGACTGTATTGCTGCAACAGATGAAAAGGAAGGTTGGGATGAAGATGGGCCATCTGGGTTTGATTGAGAATGAGTTGAAGACATTCTAAAACGACCCTTATAATGAGAAGCCGGCAATAACAAAGAATCAGTCTTTATATTTATTGTGCCAATGGATTTTCTTGTGGAAATTAAGGAAAGCCCAGAATTTTGTTGAGGCTTCCTGAATCTAGAGGATACAGACCCAGAAGATGAACCCAGAATCTGTATAGCTTTGAGCATTATTTTTAAAACTAGATAATAATGCTACTTATTGGCTCTGATGATTAATAGCTCCCACATGCCAAATTTGAAAGTAAAGATTTTGGTCTCTTTGGGGTGTATTATCAGTCTTTCAATTATGAATAATAGCATGATTAGCCATAACTGGTTGATGAATCAGGTTTTAGTGGATTTTGATTTATGAAATGGGACCATCCCCTTTCACCGTATCCACAATTTATAGCAAAACAATGCAATCAATCCGCTAGCCAAGCGCCAAGGGTTAGTTTTTTATTAATAAAAGAAAAAGTTATATATATAACAATTCGGAAAAGTACAAATAAGGGGGACAATAGCATCGGTATTGTTAACCATATGCCTTGGCTATATAATCACTCATCTGCGCCTCACATTGCATTATGATGGCAGCCTCATGTAGAGGATTCATGGTGTAGCTGCCGGCAAAGTCTCACGAGGACATATAATCTCATAGCCGTGTAGATATTTTTCCAAAGGCATAGGACCAAGGCAACTCAAACCGGGCTAAACCTTACCTTACTAATCCTATTGAGGCTTTAAATAGCCTCACCTACTAACATGCATGTAAAAAATAAGAACTGGAAAGTACCAAATATTCAATGATCATCACAGAGTTTATAACATACTCTGTGATGATATTACAAATGAGAATACTAATATAATGGTAGAATAAAATGATGAAGGAATTAAAATGTTGTCCCTTCTTGTCCGAACTTGTAATTTCTTCAATTTGTAACTCTTTTTCATCACAATCCCAATTCTTCAAGATGTATTCAAAATTCATGATTTCTTTTTTGAACGATTGGACTTTGTAGATGTAGTTGGGGCGGCCTTCTTTTGTTTGGCAACTCTCATTGGAGGTCGCCTAACATTTAAAAAATCACTAACCTTGTCGTCCCAACTAAATTTCCTTGTATGAGTCCTCTTACCTTTGCCGCTATGCATTGGTGATAGATCCCATTTTCTTGATGCCTCTGCTCTACACTGTTGTAACATTGCTTCTTCCTCTCCGTCTTCAAACAAGTCTCTCCCTAGGTGCACAGGTTGTGGAACATTTTGGTCGATAACAATTGTCTCCAATGCAGATTGACCTTGTGTATTTGTCACCATTGCCTTGCTTTGATGTTGTTCTATTTTTTGCAATTTGTTCCTGCTCTTACTCAACATTCCAATGCTAGAAGCAGTAGGATTTACAGGATTTAAGGGATTAAAACTCACCATTGCATCCAAGAGTCTTCTTTCCTCCTCTGAAATATCTGGGATGGTTGTAACAATTTAGTTCTGTCCAGAATTTGTTGTTGTGACTTCTCGATCACGTAGATGAGTAGCAGCAGTATGAGTAACATTTGAAGTGTTGGGAATAACTTGCTGCTGCACAATAGTTGTAGGTGTTCCAGCTACTCCATTTTGAATAGCTGGAGATGAAGGACTTTTGGGAATGAAAGCAGGAGCATTGGAGTTCAAATTGCTCATTGGACTTGCTGCTGGCATTCTTTTAGATTTTACCATCGCTAAGGAATCAATCTCCTCACCTGCACTATCATGATTAGCCTCACGATCAGCTTCTTCTGATGAATAACCAGCAAAACCATCTCCCAATCCTCTTCATCATCATCATCTCGTTGATCTAGCCAAAGTTTGGACTTGATAGCCATCAACCTCAAATTTCCTTGTGTAACTTCATTGTTATTCCCCGTTGATAACATAAGTAGCCCAGTTTCACCTTCAACCCCTCCACAAGATTCCATTGACTGCGAAGGAAACTCAAACACAGATTTGTTTAAGGTGACCAAAGGTTGTTTGACCATGGGATTGTTCATCATCATTTCTTTTTGAACATCTTTAATGATGTGTTCAACCTGTGGATTGGAGAAGTGCAATGTAGGTGCATTGGAGCTGTGTAACTCTGCATTTTGCGCATCAACAGGAACAATGTCCTTCGAAGTAATGAGTCGTTCACCTGTGTTCTTGGACTTTTGTTGTTGTGTGTTACTGCCTCGAGCTTGTGGCTGCCCATATTTTGGAGTTGTGTTGATCATCATAGCTGCATGAGCATTCTCTACCATTTTATCTAGTTCTGTATTGGAAATGTGCATTGTTGTTAATGGTCCTAACGTATGGATTTTAAGTTTTTTTTTTTACGGGAGAGTAAGGGTATCCATGGATATTTTAAAAATCTACTAAATCGTCCGAATCGTATCGTGTCGAACCGATTTTTAGGTTTCTCTTAGTAAATCGTTGGTTTTTATATAAATGTATAACCGTACCAATAATTATGGTATATTCTTTATTTTATGAAAATAAACTGAAAAATACCAAGTTGTACCGAATAAATTTACAACGTGAAAAATATATTTATATGTTAAGTTTAAAAAATAATAAAGCATTAAATTTGTTCTTGGGCCTAGGAATTATGAAATAGTTACAAGCCAACAAGTAATTAAACTCAAAATTCTAATTCCTAAACCTACAATGCTACTTCTATTGAAACTAAATTATTTCCAGCATATTCACTAGCAAGACACAAGGTATTGTAGCGATTATGTGTAGCAAACTACAATGTTGAGATGACCTCTCTTGTTTAGAAGTCAAATCTGTGTTCCGAGACCCTAAAAACCTCCTTTTGTCTCACCTCGATTTGCGTGCGCAGTCCGGACGCGTTTCCGGGAAGCTTTTATGTGAAATTTAAGAAAAATATTGAGTTTGGCATTAAAAATTAATTAAAGTTGACTTCGGTCAATATTTTTGGTAAACAAATCCGGACCCGTAATTTGAAGGTCCCGTATGGTCCATAATAAAATATGGGACTTGGGCGTATACCCGGAATCGAATTCCGAGGTCCCTAGCCCGAGAAAAGAATTTTTAAAGAAATTATTTACTGAAAAATATAAAGACTTTTGAAAATGAAATGGTGTGTGTTCTTGATGGTATCGGGCCCGTATTTTGGTTCCGGAGCGCGGTACAGATTTAAAATAATATTTAAGTCGAAAGTAAATGAGATAGGCCAAACACCTAACTTGTATCCAAGTTGCATTAAAAACTTTAATTTTAGTTTTTTATAGGCAAAATATCGGAGTTGATTTGATATAAAATGAACCCGAGGTTGAGAAAATTTGAACTATCTTATGAATTTCATGAATTTGAGGTTAAATTCGTAGTTGTTGATGTTATTTTGATGACTTGATCGCACAAGCAAGTATGTATAATATTTTTAGACTTGCGTGCATGTTTGGTTTAGAGCCCCGAGGGCTCGGGTGAGTTTTGGATAGGTCACAGAGTGATTAGGACTTAGGAAACTCAGCTGTGTATCTAGTATTTTTGCACAGGCCTCTGATCTCACAATTGAGATCAGGCTTTGCAATTGCGAAGTGAACAGGCCTGGGAAATGCGACATTTATGTTGCAAATGCGAACCAGGCCTGGGCAGGCACCCTCGCAAATGCAAAATTTGGGCCGGAATTGCGAAGGCCCTTCAGTAGCAAATGCGACATTTTCTTCACAAATGAGAAGGCAGCAGTATTCTTGCGAACCCCTGATCGCAGTTGCAATAACTGCGGCCTGTTAAGTGGGATTTCAGACGGGATTTTCATCATTTTACAATTTTCTCAAACCCTAAACATCTCTAGGCGATTTTTCAAAGACCCAAACTTCTCCAAATCATAGGTAAGTGATTTCTAACTCATCTTTTTCAATGTAATTCATCTTTTTATATGATTTCACTTCAAAATCTAGGGGTTTTCATGGAAAATTGGGTGTTTTGGCGTAGGAATTAGGATTTTCAAATTTTGGGGATTTGGACCTTAATTTGAGATCGGATTTCAAACCCAATTGCATATTTGAGTTCGTGGGTGAATGGGTAATCGGGTTTTGGTTCGAACTTCGAGTTTTGACTAAGCGGGCCCAGATACAATTTTTTACTTTTTGGGGAAAACATTGGAAATCTATATTCATGCATTAGGATTGGTTTATTTAGCATTTATTGATGTTATTAAGTAAATTATAACTAGATACATGCAGATTGAAAGTGGAACCGAGAGGTAACGCGGTAATTGAGGCTTGATTTTATCCGTAGAATTGAGGTAAGTGTTTGGTCTAACCTTAGCTTGAGGGAATAGGAGTTGTGGTCTTAGTTGCTACGTGTTAGTGTTGAGTACGACGTATAGGTGTGGTGACGAGTATCTATACATTGGTGTCAAGCATGCCCGTGAGTCTTATACCATGATTGTTGTGACTCTAATAAGTACCATTCATGCTTAAATTGATGATTATCAATGTTGAATAAGACTTATAAAAGTTTCTTGGTAATTGATCATTGTTAAGTATTGGCTCAAGTTGAGATTTATTTTGTGAAATAACTGTTGAAACGGAATTGGTTATAGCTGATTCCCTTGTCAGGATGTTATTGTTTATATTGTTTATTCCCTTGTTGGGATGTATTGTTTCTATTGTTTGGGTGAGGAAGAGTATAAAACACGAAGGGTAATGTCGTGCATGATATTGTGAGTGAGTGTTAATGCATGAAGGGTGATGCCGTGCCGATATTTGTGAGTGTTAATGCACGAAGGGTGATGTCGTGCCATGATTTGAGAGATAATGCACGAAGGGTGATGCCGTGCCGATATTTTGAGAGTTAATGCATGAAGGGTGATGTCGTGCCATGATTATGAGAGGTAATGCTCAAAGGGTGATGTCGTGCCGTTTCTGTTGTTTCATATGGTGAGAACGAGAGTAAAAACACGAAGGGTGATGTCGTGCATGTGTCACTGTTTCATTATTCTTGTTGATTCAAATATGATGTTCATTATGCTTCTCTATTGGTCCATTATTAGAATTTGATATTCCCCGCAGCATGTCCCCTTCCCATCTTAATCTGATTTCCTGTTACTATTATTCTGTTTGTATATGATTTAATTGCACAAGTTTATATGGTTGTCGTGTCCTAGCCTCATCACTACTTCGTCGAGGTTAGGCTCGACACTTACTAGTACATAGGGTCGATTGTACTGATACTGCACTCTGCACTCTTTTGTGCAGATTTCGGTGTCGAACCTTGTGAGTAGCTTGAGGTAGCTTCCTTCGGTCCAGGGAGACCAAGGTAGATCTGCTGGCATCCGCAGAGCCTGAAGTCCCCCTTTCCCCGTTTGAGATTTTTTATGTCGTC